CCGATTTTTTATCAGAAGTAGATCAATCAAGCAGACCTTCCTTCTAATGGGCCTTTGTATGAACTCCCACCAATCTTTTGATTAGAAACCCAGTTCTTTAACTCTGTGTACCGCTCAGAAAGTCCATGGGAATAATTAAAATATAACTAATGGAATAGGGATGTTGTGTATGAGCATGTTTCATTGCATGTAAGCCTTGCTTATTGTCTCTTCACCTTTAGCCTAAGACAGTCATCAAAGAGACTGTCAAATTGAACAGGTGAAGGATGCACAAGGCATTTCAATGGGACTGGAACTATTTTGCAAGAAGTTATAATAGTAGAAATATACCATCTTGAGTTTGTTAAACCCATACAACTCTACAAAAGCAAGGAGTATAGTCGCCTACAAAGTTAACTTTAGTTAAGTGTAATGTATCAGTATTAGTTTATCAGGTGTGACAAATACAGTCCAGTAACACACAGATATTAATTGCAGGATAATCTGTATGCAGGGAAAGTAAGGGGTTATATGAGAGCATGCCTGTACAATGTTCTTTGCCTAAAGGTGCTCTAAAAACAAAACATGGAATTTTTTTTTTAAAGAAACTTTCCTAGAGATCAGGGCAAGAGGTTATTAAGACATCTATGAGTGTAAAAAACTATTTCCTGCTTTAATCACTAGGAATATTTATGTTAAATATCCTATTGCAGAAAGAATGAATAAGTTCTCAATAACTAGGAAACAACAAGTTTGCTAACCAAATATGATTGTTCAGAAATGGTGTCCAGAAACATATGAAGCTATCAAAAGACATTCTAGATAAAAAGGGTGCACTGGTTCAAAGAGTATTGACAAAGGTTCCCTCATTCCCTGTTAAGGGCTTGAGACTGAAGAGACTGTATTTGAACCACAAAAGAAAGAACCTATTCTTGATTACTAAATATCTAATTCCTTCCCCCTCCCCACTTGTGTCTTAATGATGTTTGGTTTTAATTGTAATTAAGCCCATTCAAACTCTGGTGACTCAGTGGGAAGGAGCTGAGGTGCCAATCCAAAAGGATGTGGTTCAAATCTATCAGCTGCTCCGAGGTGCTAAGATGGGCAAACTTCTCCAGTGTAATTTATAGCCTCTGGACTACTAAAACATAGTGGTAAGAAACAGCTTGAAATCCCAAAGGCACATGGTTTGAATCCACCAGCTGTTCCGTAGGAGAAAGATAAAACATCTCCTCCCATGTGATTAACTCTCTCTGAAAACCACTGGAGGCACCAGAGGGTTAACCCGATGGTAAAACAACATGAGAAGAACTTTTTTAAAAAGTACCTTAAACACATGGTTGCACATTTGCTTACATCTGATGCTGGGATTGTTGACAGCTTTGCAACACTCTTTTTTATTGCTGGGCCTGCATTGCTGAAAGCTAAAACTGAAACTGCACTGAATTCATGAGTCATTGAGATCTTGAGACAGCTTATAGTTCTGGTCTCCTACCTGTCCTTCCTATTTGTTTGCTTTTTCTTACAACTGAATTTTCTCTTACTGTAGTTTTGTTTTCAGTTTATACTCTGCTATAAAATGAAGTTTAGCATGAACTCTTTGGATCTATTTAAGTGAGATAAAATAGAGTTTCTTGTCACGTTGATATATCTTCTCCCTCATTGTTATATAATACCCAAGAGAGAACAATGCATAATTTTAATTAATCCTTCCAATAAGTATGAATTTTTTCTATGTGTGTCTTCAGAATATACACAAATTCTATAAGCAATGGTTAATTCGTAATTTTTTCTCATTTACCTTACTGGTAGGTAATATATTTTGCCTTTATCACATGTATTATGAACTGCCATTGTATCTTAATTAATTTAATGATATTTACAATTTCTTGAATTCTATTTTAATACTTACATTATTAATCTAAATTAAATGGAATGATCATCACATTCTTTACTGAGCATTTAATAATAGTTTAAGTGAATCGAGAAAGATTAAACAAGTTTCTTTTATTATTACTATGATAACTACTTTAAAAACACACATCTACTTGGTTTTGGTTTTAGAGGGACTGTAATACTGTAAATGTACTTGACAGTTAAAAGGGAGGAAATATTCAGGAATTAAAATAAAATGGATGTTTCCTTTATATACAATTCCTGGGATAAATCTTCAATATTCATCATCTTCCAAGAAATTTGCAAGTAGTCATGGTAAAACAATTAAGAAATGTCCACTTTTTTTCCAAATCCCATACTTAATGATGCTTTAAAAATAATTTATTAGGTACTTTTTAAATAAGAAGTTTGTGTAATATTTATTTAAAGATTTTTTCTGATGGGTGCATGATAACATATAGAAGGTAGTGAGAGGATGGGACCTGTGATATCAAATGCTTCTTACAGTCTTCTTCATTGTATTTTAATCACAATTATAAGTCAATATTCATTTCTGTTTATTACTATTCAACTCATAACTGCATGAGATAAACAGATTATTTGCTCAGAAAATACTGAAGTAGAGTTCTAAATGTGACAGAATGACCTATTATTGCCTTCTCTTTAAGCACGTTTGATTTACATAAATGGCTTTTTTACAATTTTGAAATGTGAATATATTTTATTTTTTCCCAGTGAGTACACAATACACAATTCTTTAACAATACTATTAACCAATTTTTGCCAATTTCTTTGCTGATCTAACAACATCAAATGAAACACATGAAGATTTTGGATGCTGTTTGGTGAGGTAACAAACTACAGTAAAAAAGAAAAAAATCTATCTATAAAACAAAGTATAAAAAAGTCTACCCACGGCCACAAAATCCCTTATCTTGCATCACTTTAAAGTCACAATAAATGATTTTGAAAATATGAGATTAAAAATTAGTAAATTGAACTTCATTTTTTAAAAAGCATGGTTTGTAGTACGCATTGTAGAGAAACAAAATTAAAGTAACTTCACCTCTAAGACAATGTGGAGACATGTCTTACACCAATTCCTTGCCATGTAATTCTCTAAGTACAATATACAGAAGGAGATGAGCAAATCAGTAAATGTCATGGTTCTGCATATCTTTAATACTGACACACAATCACTGTCCAGTGGAGAAGATAAACCACAGTTTAGAGTTCATTGGAATTGTTGCCAATATATCACCAAGGGAAAATTACATTAATTTATTCAATAGTAATTCAGAGGTGTTCCACCAAAGTGCATATAGATGTTCAACTGATAGCCCACTGAAAACATGTTCAAATACCCAGAGTATTAAACTTTGCTTAGAAAAGAAAATCTGTTTGGTTACCCAAATTAAGTCAACTTGCAATGCTGTAGCTTCTTTTTGGTTGAATGAGACCACAACTCTTGGACTTGGTTTTTCTATATTCTCCCTAGAATTAGATTCACACCCTGTGAAGGAATCAATTGTTTTCATGTCTCCCAGCCCATCCTGCCTTGCTTTAAAAATAACGTGGAAAACAGTTGGAGGAGAGGTAGAGTGATTCCACCTGCATACACTGTGGCTGCATACCTGAGCTTGAGCACTGAGAGAGCTAGCTACTTCCTCAATAGAGCCTTTCTGCCTTCAGAATGGAGCTGTGCTTGTGGAGGGGCTGGTGACCACACAGCAGCATTGCCCGTGAGTGCAAGATAGAGAGTATTCCCTTCCTTCCAGATTTCCTCAGGAAGACTCTTGCAAGCCTATGTTTAGACCTGCAGAAGAGTGAGTGAGTGCAGTGAATTTCTAAATGCATTAATTCAATATGCTACAAAATAAAAACAGTGGTGACTCCTAGGCATGATGGTATGGTTTGGTGATACTCTGATAAGTAGAAGAGTTTTACATTTACTAAGATTTAGTCAGTCATCATGATTCCTGGTATTGTTTGTTCTTGAATTCATTTGGAGAGCACTAGTATTTTTTTTCATACCCAATATGTACATGAGAATATTTTAGATGCAACATTTGACTGACCAGTTTATTTAGAGATTACATTTAACAGGGAATATGAACTATTATTGTGATGTCATATATTATTATATGAATGTTTCAAATGTCCTTAAAGTTTGCATTGACATAAGCTAACAATTAATTTTTATGTATTGAAAACCACCAAGAAGGAATTACATTTTATCCTACATTACCTCACGAGTCTTCTGCTTCCAGATACTACATTTTTGAAGAATTGGTTTCTTAGTCACCAATATCTTCCAGTTATCAGGGGTTGAAAGTTATACATAATGCGTGTGATAAACCAAAGTTTTACTAAACTTTGTGAAAAAAGCATAATTGTGATTGTGAAAGAGCATAAGAGGGGTATATGAAAAGGGGGGGGAACTTCTTCCTAACAGAAATGGGTGAAATAGGGAAATATATAAATAAAAATTTAAATTCCTGACAGCCTATAGTTGTGAATAAGTATGTGGAAACTTCTCACCTTCCATGCTTTCCCTGTCCCAGAGAAATCGAACTGCATTAAAATTCAGGCACTGATGGTAGAAAGCTGATAAAGCATTTAGTAAATGGATCTCAGAATTCTTTCATTTTCATTGAAGAAAATAACTACAGGGCACCAAAAAGATGTTGGGGCCCATAAAGAACATTAGTTCCTTTTTGCTTGCCTGTGCTAATGCAGCTGCAGGGAATACAAAAGATGGAAAGACACTTGGCTATGCCGTTCCTTTGCTGTAACAACCTGACATACAATTGATGAATGAGCCAATAATAAAGTATGAACCGTCAGTCAAAGGGGTCCCACACGTTAGATGTGATTCTAATCATTACAATGGATTTTTTTAAAGTGACTATGAAACACATAGGCAGAAGATGAAAAAAGAAAAGAAAGAATTTAAGATTGTGCTGATATATGAAGGTTCTCTTCTACTTTGACGGATTGACTATACATGTACAGTAGTAAACAAAAACTAAAACATGTTCTTTCTTTTGACCATTCATGATAGACATTCTGGAATCCATAGTTCTCAAAAGTCGTAAAAAACAAATGAGGCAGGACACTTTTTGTAATGTCCACTTACAAGGTTTGGTTTTATTTAAAAAGTGTATAAACATGCATTTTTTTCCTTTTGAATTTTTCTTTTCAATTTACTCATTCAAAATGAGTCAAAGATATTTTAGTTCGCGGCCAATTTCTGAAAATGTACCATAAAATATTTATTCCAATAAACTACTTAGTGAAAACTGAACATACTCGAGCACTGCTTTTTAAAGCACTTTCAATTTGGCTGTATGTTTGGGGGCATAAGCTTTGCATTTTTAATCAAAACACAAAAATGTATATAGACTGCGTTGTTTTTAGAAAGTCAAGGTTTTAAGTGATGCAGCTCCATCCCCTAGTGTGGACTGTACATGTATTAGGAAGATGAAACATGATTTTGCAATAGTGTTTATATTTGGAAGCAGCCTGAGTATGCCCTAATAATAAATTGCCTCTTTAACTATATGCTAGACAGTCTAGAGTTCATTTTGTTTGTTTCCTTGGGGAAATTCATTTTATATTCTGACTTAATGAGTTAGAGAGATTAATTACGGTTGTTCAGAAGATTCTTTTTTTAAAAAAAAAAACCTGTAATATAAATACAGCTTTTGTGAAACACCTTAATTCCCTCTGTTTATTTTCATTCTCAAATGGATTAACTACAATGACAGGTTAAGTTGGTGTCTTCTTTCCCGTTTCATTTTTAATCAAGTTTAGTACATCTTTGCTACCTGTATATTTAAATGCATATTTAGTCTTAAGACATTTTCCTCCTTCTTCTGACCCCTGCTTTTTTTTCAACTGTAAAAGCCACCTTTCTGGTTTATTATTGACTCAGTCCCTGATGTTCAAAGAAGACTTTCACCAGCACCACTGTTCCTTTGCATCTTTCTATTTCTACACCCCCAAATGAAAACCATCTAACGAGATTGGTTACATCCAGCATCACCGAACCTAGCTTACAGTACAGAAACTCCCTTCACATTCAGTCTTATTCTTCATGTCACGAGGAGTAGAGATTTGTGCTTATCACCAAATAAAATTGCAGTGCAAAATTTAAACATAAAAGTTACACAATTAAAAGTTAATATATGGCACCACAGCCTATTAATTCACATATAGTACAACAGACCAATAAGAACAGACAATAATATGAACAGAGCTAAAAAGAGTGAGCTTGCATAGCAATGCACAAAAGAAATTATATACAGAGGAAAAATCTTTTTCTTCATGAGGGAGAGTTTTGCTTTCTTTCTTTTTTATATACTCCTGACAAGAAAGAGTTAAGGTGGGTGGTGTACTTAAGAGAGGAACACAAGTAAAATATCTGTGGGATATGTGTGGCTGTGTGTCTTTACATTGCATTTACAGTTCTTTTAATAGTACATAAATAAATTGTTCATTGCACTGTTTAGTGTCATCACTTCCATGAGTTCAGACCTGATGGTCCTTCAGAGCAGCTTTGCATGTCTCCTCTCAGTTACTCTACAAAGAAAAGAAAGGGAAGAACACAGTCAACAGGAAGTTTGCATTTCCATTGTGTATTCTCTCCTCTTGACCAGCATAGCTAAAACCCAAGGCTACCATATCAAAGCTAGACACCAGAATGGTGACAGCGTCGTGACTTCTAAATTGAAGACATATTAGTGGAATTGGATTGGGAAAGGAAGCTTCACTTGATGGAAGATGAGGTAGGAAGAAAAGGACACACTTGAAAATCTGGAGATGTACAATCCCAGTAGAGCTACCTTACAGCTTCTGATGAGGCTGTAATTATATCAAAATACAAGGGCAAAGGAAATTCTAAGTACCATGAACTAAATTAAAAATTATGAACACATTTTAAGACTAATTAATTAGCAATCTCATTGCCACCTAGCTACGTATCACCCTTATAGGACAGAGTAGAACTGTCCCCTAGAGTTGCTTATGCAGCACATTTTTAGGAGAAAGTAGATTCAAACTACATTAGCAGCCCAATACTTAGACTTCATTCTCACCAGGGCTCCTTAAAGGAGCAACACTGTTGTATGTTGTTGAGTCAGAACAAATTCATAGCTGAGTCTTCAATGGGTTTTCAGAAGCAGTAAATTGCACGGGTAGAGAATGCCTATCTTTCTCCTCAGAGCAGCTAGTGGATTTGAACCATGTTCCTTTGGGATTACAATGCAACTTCTTACCACCAGGCCACCAGAGCTCCCTAAGTTAACAATAATGACTCAAATCAACAAATAGCTGTAAAGTACCTTTACTTCTTTTTATCTCATGAGGTACCCCAAACCTAATCTGTAGTGTGAACATAGCAACTCAGTACTATTATAAGTTAATACTGATTCACAGGGTTTCTAAGACTGTAAGTCTTAACACAAGGAAAATGCCTAGAATTCTCCTAGGAGCTAATGTGTCTGACCTTTGGTTATTAGCACAACTCCCTATGGACCAGAGGGAACATAGTAATAATAATGCCAAATTTCAGGTGAAGAAATGCAAGAATCTGAAGCTCTGTCTCACATACTTTTGGCATGTGGCCAGGTGAGACCAGTCCCTGAGGATGGACATCATGCTTGGAAGAGTGTGTGTGTGTGTGTGGGGGGGAGGACAGCACAGGAGAGGAAGACTCCAGATAAGATAGATTGACAAAGTGACTGGGGTAATGGGGGTAGGTATATTGGAGGCAGTAGTTTAGGACAGGGTTGGGTTCAGAGTTGTACAGAGTTGAAGGCAACTCGATGGCACTCATCAACAACAACTAAAATGTCAGAAGGGCCTTTCTTCAACACATTTAGTTAAAAGGGCAAAGAAAATAACAAAATGGATCATGTTGTTGTTGTTATGTGCCGTCGAGTTGATTGTGACTCCTAGCGACCCTATGTACAACAGCCCTAAACTCTGCTCTGTCCTGTGCCAATCGCACCGTCTCTGATACACCCATGCCAATTACTCCAGTCACTGAATCAATCCACCTTATAGAGGGCCTTCCCCTCCTGTGCTGTCCCTCCACCCTACCAAGGACTGGTCCCTCCTTATAACACGTCCAAAGTATGTTAGACAAAGCCCCAGAATCCTTGCCTCCAAGGAGCCACCCTGTTTAACCCTTTCCAGGATGACTCTGTTTGTTTTCCTAGCAGTCCATGGTACCCTTAATACTCTTCTCCAGCACCAAAGCTCAAAGGTATCAATTCGCCTTCTATCCTCCCTAGTCATTGTCCAACTCTGTGATGCATATAACAAGTGATCGCAAAGACCATGGCCTGTAAATGGATCTTAGTTAATCTAAATCTTAAAAGTATTAAGTCTAGTTGTCTAAAGTATAACTATTTTTATAGTATAGTTTAAACTTGAAATATCAGAAATATGTGTACAGTCATTGTTGTAAAAAACAATGGTCTAAGTTATGATCAAATCCACCCAAAAATTGAAATTTTTTTCCTCAGTATAGTGAAAGAGATTTTTATTCTGAATTGAGTTTATTTATATCCACTGTGAATTGATTTCCACTCATGGTGGAGAACCCTCCACTGGGTTTCTGAGGCTCTAAATTCTTAATAGCACAAACTGCCTCATTTTTCTTTGAACCATTGACCTTTTGGTTAGCAGTCCAACATGTAAAAGATTCTGCCACCAGGGCTCCCTAATTTATTTATTTATTACAGCATTACAATTAGCCCTTTATCCTTTAAGATCAGGATAGCTTTTGAAAATGTCCTAAGGCACTTACATAATTCATTTTGACTATTTGAGCCCATATATCCTATGTCAAGAAGGTCGCTGGCATTGCGCTGGTGGCCTCCCCTCAATACCTCAGCTTTCCTGGGTCCTGTGGATCCTTTTGAGGAAGCTGTTCCTGATGAGCTGTGGCCGCCAGGTGATGGGAAACTGGGCTTGCTGTAGGGCACCAAGGTCTCCTCTGAAAAAGAAACACAAAAGGCTTGAATTGAACAGAAATGTCAGGTAAAGTACTGACTTAATTCTTAAAGATCCATCTCAGAACAGACCATTTCAAAATTACATGCATGACTGAGGCTTGTTTGGACTCAAATAAGTATTAAAGGAATTTGCATGGGTAAGCAAGAGAACCTACAACAGGAAGTAAAGTAGGATTAAATGGGGTAAGTAAATGCAGTGTTACGTATCATTTACAAGATCTGAATTCACTTAAAAGAGAACTTCATACAATAAAGCATAGTTTGTTTTACAAAATAATATTTCAGAATAATTTCTAGAGTTCCATGAGGTTCAAATTTAATTGTCTCTTTATAAATGGAGAAAATTGGTTTTTACCTTAACTTAAATTATGGCAATAGTTTATAGCTTTAAATAAAAGACTACAGTAAACTAAATAAATGTCTTCAATTTCTATTGTTTCTTGGGACAGAAAATGTTGAAAAGACTGTATATTCCCTTAAAAGAAAAGAAAGGGAAACATTTAATGAATCTTCTCTCTACAAAAGACTTCTGAAGTATATCATTTAACAATATCCTCATTTAAATTTGTTTTCTTTCTCTCTGTTCCTCAGGCTGTTTCTTTCCTTTCTGTCTAGGAACAGGATTATATTTTTTGTAATTAGATGAGTTAAAAAATGCTGATGAATTTACTATTTAACTCCTTATATAACAATAAACACCCTTCTCTCATAGCTTGGATTATTCTGTTAATATGGGAAAGAGTTCTTAAATGTTTAATTAACCCTAGGCATTGAAATTGTCACACTTTTATCCTTGCAAAAACCACATTTTCTAAAATTCTGTACAATAAATTTTGACAAAATCTAATTCTTGAAATGTATGGGCAGAGTATATATCAAGAAGGTTGAGTCCAAAGAATAAATTCATATTATCTGACTTATTATTACAAACAAAAGTATGAGTAAGGAATAATGACATGTGAAGGAATGTACCAAAAAACTCCATTTCTAATAGGCTTATTATTCACACCCTCCCCCAATAAGAAAGGCAGCAATAAAGCATATAAAATTTCTTTTTATGACATTTCTGGGCAGTTTGAACATTTTTCCTTGAAGTACTAACAAGGAACTAATCAGCTGGAGAAGTGTAGGTCCAGTTTTTGGTTACTTTTTGAAACAAGAATACTCTGTGAATGAGTTAATGTTAATGTACCACTTTGTCATTGCAATGCATTAACTTAGTAAGATGCAGTGAGTTCTTTCCAGTGATTTGGTACTTTAGTTAAAATGAACAAACCAGTTGAAAACAGAGTTTAAACCAAACCCAGGATGAAATTTAGTGCTCTTAAAATTACCCAACAGACATATTAAAAGGGAGAGAAAATTTAAATTGCCTCTTGAGCACTAAAGCTGAATATCTTAGGTCTCTTGGGCTCAAAAACCATCTGAGGAGGTTAACTTCAGGAACAAGCACCAGTGGGTGTAGCCTTGGGGAACAGGCTAGTGAACTTTCCTGAGGAACCCCACCTCAGTCATCCTAGCCTCCTTAACAAGCTGCCATTTCTAAAATACCTAGTAGGGGAAGGAAAACAGATAAAAGTCCATACTTTCTTGGGGCTGGGCAGAACACACCTGGTCCGACACCTTGTTTGTGTGGGGTTTTCCGTATATCTTCTTGGCGTTCTGTGGAGTTTATCCATTCCTGGGTTTGTCGCTGCCACTCTAAGGAGGTTCTAGCTGGACAATCCAGTGAGCTCTTCGTGTCTTCTAAGTTGGGTGCTTGCTGTCTCTCCAGAGAGCTCCCTTTTCTCTCTGTTGAGCTTTCCACGTTACCAGCTTGCTGACTTGGGCCTATTTGCTGCCTTATACCCTGACCTGGTGGGGGATCTGGTGGTGGTGGAAGATCTAAAAATTTTGAATAATGTTTAGAATGTACTAAAAATTTCATGAAAAAGACAGGTTTTATTTCCCACTGAAGAATAATACCCCTTGCCCTCAGACAAGATCACCCACACAAAGGAAAATGGGGAGAGTAAAACTCAGTCATATTTTCCTAAAAAGCACACACTGATCTCTTTTTATCACAATAACTAAAATAAAATCAGCTTACTCTATCCAACCCTTTCATGTGCAGATTTGGTGTTTTCAAGGCACACAGGAGTTAAACGCTTAAGGTGTGAGAGCAACTTACATATTTTCAATATTTAATCAATTGCCCAATCCCACCCACCAAACTAAAAATACCACTTCATAAAATAAAATTACTAGAAATTCTAGCAGCTGTGCTAATAAAAGAACAAAAGCCCACTTGCCAATCTCCATAGACAATGTTGCCCTCGGGAAATTAAGAACTATACGCTGTATCATATGCAGCATCTGACCGCCTTTCCCCATGTATGTAGCACATTTAGCAACAGTCAAAGGGTTAAGCTAACATTTATTAAATGCAATTAACATTCTGCCTGACAACCAATTCTCGCTATTCGTTTCATGAGTTAGCTAATGAGTTACAACTAATATATTATAATCTTACAGTGTACTAATTTTAATAAGTAATAACCAATTTTCAGAGCACAGATTGAATTGGCTTCATGGTGCTAGACGAGACAATGCATCATGGAAATGTGCGATGCAGAGAGGCAGATAATTTTTCAAAAAGACTCTTTAATATCATATCTACAAAAATGAAAACTTCCGTAGTCTGTTATACATTCATTTTCTTTTTATCAGCTCTTCAGCTCATGATGCCTTTATATTTTAAATGTCTTCAATTGTGAAGTCAGATGCCCTGAATTCACTTTTAAGTACTATGTTGTTGTTGCTGTGTGCCTTTGAGTCAGACCTTACCCATAGATGACCCTCTAGTGGGTGCTCAGAGGCAGTGAATTGCATGAGAGAAGTTTGCCCACCCTCCCGTAGAGCAGCTGGGGGAGTCAAACTGCATGCTCTGGGATTTCAGCTTAGCTTCTTGTTACTACTTGTTTCTTGTTAAGCATTACAGTATTTCTAAAGTTGATAATGTTGAAAACTATTTTGTTTATTTTAAAATATTCTAAAATTCTTAGATAATTTTTAATGTTCTATTTCTTGCATGCTCACTTGTTCTCTCTCTCTCATTGTTGTCAAGTAGAAACTGACTCATAGCTGAGTGCCCACTGAATTTCTGAGGCTACAAAACACATCACTCTACTGAAGAGCCACTGGTAGATTTGAATCACTTGAAAGATATGGCCTTTGGATTAGAAACGCTCCTTGTGGACTATGTCAGCCTCAAAGAATGGGAAGTCTCATTATTTGATTATAAACATGAGATATTATATATAATGTTATATTTATTTTATTAATAGTGGATATTGTGTACAAGGAGTCCTAACAGTGCAGTGATTAAGCATTCAGCTGTTAGTAGAAGAAAGTGGGTGCCTGAATTCACCCAGTGTCTTTGAGGGAGGAGGATCTTGTGCTCTGTTGTTGTTTTTGTTTTGTTTTGTTTAAATTTCAGCCAAGGAAATCCTAAAAATCTCTGGATTCTCTGTGGCTAAGGCATTTGATTGCTAACCAGAAGGTCAAGTGGTTCAAAATCATCCACAGAAGATAGATGAGGCGGCAATCTGCTTCTGTAAAGATTTACAGCTATGGAACCCCCTGAGGAAGTTCCAATCTGTCTCACTGGGTTTTCTTGAGTCAGAATTAATCGAAGGCTGAGGGTAGTGGGGAGAAAACTGTGGGACAACTTTACTCAATCACATGGGGTTTCTATGGGTTGAAGTCAACTTAATAGCACAACAACTGTAACACTGTATTTAATCAAGTTTTCATGACTTTTTAAAAAAGTGTTATTTTTGTTTCTAATAATATCTGTCAGTAAAATTTTAAAGTGAAAGGTATAAAGTTCTTATGTATAAAAGTTAGTTTCTTTAAGGAAGAGTAAGGACATGATTTCTTTTAAAAACTTTCTTGGCTTCATACTTTAATTTATTAGCAAAGAGATCTGTCCTTCACTGAACTGAAAATGATTTGTTTTCTGAGTAAGTATCTGCTCTGGGAGTTTCTACATGAAATAGTATTCTATATATTTACATATATTTTCCTAACTATTCAAGAGAATTAGGTCTATGTGAGGGGAAAAGCTGTAGTTAGAGTTTTTTGGGAAGCTTTGCCCTCCCCCCAAATGAAGAGCACATTCTATTTTGAGGTGTCTGGTGCTAAATAATCCACCAAGGAGTTTGATGTTTTCAATTTGATATTTTCATTCAATACTGTTTTCTTAGATATATGTAATTATAACTGTAATTTAATTATCTATTGAATATTTCAGCCACTGAACTTAAAGAGCAGTGGGGGAAAATTATTGTACTGATCTTCAAAATAAAATGTCATTGATTTTTATTCTCCATCAGAGTAGTATAATTTTTAAAATGACAAAAGTATCTGCTTATGCTAGCTAAAATTCTGATTACCATTTAATTTAAACTGAAATTATATGGCCACATAATAAAGTATTATCTATGGGGCTCTGTTTCTCTAAAAAAACCCATTATATGTACAATCAAATAAATGAATTAGAAAAAAAGGAGAGGATTAAAAATGGTTGTGGAAAAAAGTATGTAATCAAATCTATGAAATTAAATTCATTATTCATTTCTATGTTGATTCATTTTAACTAGATCAATGCACTAAGGAGTCTCTTACTGGCCTATTGAGGATTTACTACTGTAAGGCATACAGTCCATTGAGGTGATGCTTTAATGTCCTAATTTTTTTATGCAACCAAAATGAGGCACAAAGAGATTAAATATTTCTACCCTAGAGCTTGTCTTCTATGATCTCCAGATTTTCATAATAAAACCTACATTAGACAATTACACTTAGAGACCTAGAAAATATCTCAAGTTTTACGTTTCAATATTAAGTTCTGGAACTTGTTCTCCAAAATCTGCCCAGGCAGTAGCTGTCCAATTGCATAAGTTGGCTGGCTAAAAATATTGAGTAGTCATTGACTTGC